TCCAATTTTTTTATTTTTTGGTTAAATAACTCCAGGTTTTGATGCATTGTAGTAGAACACTTCTAGTTACATACCTATGCAAATAACAAATTTTAGGAAAGTGTCATAGTTTGCAAATGGGGGGCGCCATCCCCAAATTGGGTAACTTAGACCACCTAATGTCAGCCCTGACGGGGTAACATAGACCGGCTTGGAAGTTAATATCAAATTACCATATATAAGACTCTGTAGAATCTGAAATATAAAGAAAAAAACATTAATAGGTGTATCAAACATAAAATATGTTATATAGGTACCTATGGTAATTTTAACTTAATTTCCAAGCCAGTCAATGTTACTCCGTCATGACTGCCATTAGGTGGTCAAAGTTACCCCATTGGGGGGCAGCACTCCCCATTTGCAAACTATGACACTTTCCTAAAATCTGTCTTTTGCATATGTAACTAGAAGAGTTCTACTACAATGCATCAAAACCTGGAGTTATTTTACCAAAAAATATAATTGATTTTACCACCCGGTCTAAGTTACCCCAAGAGCTGGGGTAACAAAGACCATCACTTTTTTTGAAATTACATAAAGACTATGAGAGGCAGGAGCCAGCAATTTATGGTGAGTGAAGCTAGAGTATAGACCTGTATTTTGCATGTTTCAATTCAAGTTTAATTTAGCTAGTAAAAAAATGGCATCATTTATAAAAAAAAAGTGGTCTAAGTTACCCCATTTTATGGTACCTACTTAAATTATATGATATTGGAGCTGCAATATTTCAGAAAAAATAGGACTTTTCCAGCCCTGTAAACTTCATCCCTTTTAACTGCGTTTTCCTAAATTCTTCTAAAAAATACACAGGAATGTCACATTTGTTTGCAATTTTTGGGAAATTCTTCTTGATATTTTGGATAAAACAAGTACATTTTTAATACATTGATATAGTTGGAAATATTATCTTTGCTATTCAAGTCTAAAAATGTTTCTGCATGGCTCTATGGTCTACCAAATTTGGGATGCAAAACTTTATAAAATATTGCAGTGCTACTAGCATAGTGGCACATGAGACTTTTTAGTCTGACCTTTCCTATGAGAATTTAGGTCCCTGAATATTTATTGCACCCTTTGATATTAAGCAAAATTATGATTAACTCTTGCAATGAGAGATGAACTGAGTCTGAAAAATCCATCAGCAAGATCTTTTTATCTATACATATTTGGGGCTGTAAATTCTATATTGTCTATGACACTCAAGGTTTCACTCAGCTGTCAGCATACTGTCTAAAATCCCTCAACTTGCTGCATGTTAGCCAAGTCAAGGCAATAGAAAACTGGCCGGAACCTCTCACGTGGAAAACATATTCCCAAGACTGTATGTATAGGTACTTGATTTTTGGAGTTATTTCAAATTTTTGAGCTGTGTGTTATTTTTCTAAGCCAGTTTTTGAATTGCAAACCCGTTGGTTAGCTGGCATGCACATATTGATCTGAATCTCGACTATTAAAGACTTGAAAATGGCTAAAAAAATATTCTTTATTAAGGGGAGCGTCTACCCTAAAATAGAAAATTTTCACTTTTTTGGTTTTTATACTCATTTTAAAGCTGACATTCTGCCCTATCCAACGGTAGCACTGCCATCTCTCTACGTTGATTTATGATTTCACGACATTTCATGAAAGGGGGCCGAGTGGGTGAGTTCTTTAAGTAATTAGATAGGAACTAATTAGCTGCTGAGCTCTTTAAATATAATGTCTACTTGAGTTGTGCTGCAGTTATGTGTTTAGTCTCATCTTAAAGCTGACATTCTGAGCTATCCAACGGTACCATTGCCATCTCTGTACGTTTATTTGTACGTTCACGACACTTCATGAAAGGGGGGCGGGGGGAGAGTTCTATCAGTAATTACATAGGAGCTAATTCGCTGCCCAGCACTACAAATACAGTGTTTCTATGAGGTGTAGCTCAGTGTGCCTCCGGGCTTTGTAGGGAGAGATGCGCATGTAGTTGCTCCCATCATCCTTGAGTGGAATCAAGCTCCAGAAACGTTTAGTTTGGTATCTTCGCATCGAATGATATGTGTCTCGATGTTGTAGCTTGGAAATCCTAGGACTAGATCCATTTCTACAGTACCCCCTTTAATAGCCGTTTTCTAAGAATTTCACGTTTTCTTTCATTTTTTTCGAAAAACTCACACGAACAAAATGCGAGTTTTTTTCCATTTTACATATGTGTACCAAGTTTCAGAGTGATCCGACTGTAAATAGCCGAGATAATTTTTAGGGTAGACGCTCCCCTTAAGTAAATCTGAGGGAAATTTTAGACTGGTAATGTATGAACATATAGAGTGCAGACATAGTATTTGCATCAAGAAACCTGTATTAATTTATGTGTGAAACAGAATTTTCCCTTGTATAAGTCATATGATATTGTATAATCAGATGATAGCTTTTATAAATCAGATTATAGCTTGTAACTGAAAAAGTTATCAGGCTGCATTGATCTTGAATTTGAGAACAAATATTCTTTGAACTACAAACTGCTAAAAGCTTGTTCACTCTAGAGGCAATATTGTTTGTGATGATATATATTTATCATATTTTTGTTAAAGGAACTATGCATACTCAAAAAAAAAAAAGAATAATGCATTTCAAATACAGTCACGATCCAGGATAGTTTGTTGGAACCGCACTCAGGCAGTCCTCCCACACTCCTGCAGAAAAAATGCAAAAGTTCAAAATTTCTTTGCACAACACATTTCTAATCTGTAATATTTTGGATCAGAGGAAAATATGACTTAGAAGCTTTGATATTTCTTTATTACCAACCAAAATAATCTGATTTTGGAGCAGGTGTGAAATATATCTACTTTCCAAGCCATAACTGGAGCTCTACCACTATTTTGGGACCAGGGAGATTTATCTCCAATCAAATTCTTGATGAACATTTAGGAATAAGCTATAAAATTTTGTGATTTTGGAAGTACCATTTTTAAAAAAAAAAAGTTTCTTTTTAATCTGTGTCAGAAATTATGATTCATAGGCTTGAAATAATTATAAAACTATTTAAATTTTGCTATAACATTATTGTTGTTTTTTTTTATAAAATGAAATACTTGTATTTGCACAATTTTTTTTTATTCACATTTATGTGAGAGAGCTACCAATATTCTCTCCTTTTGTCCCCATTTTTCCTCATCAAAAAGATCACACAACACCTGCAAACAAGTCTTGTGTTCCCATGTATACTCGTATATGTTGTTCCTGTCTTGAATCTTGTGGGCAAGATGGATGTGTTATCTATATGTGTACCATACAAATATGCTTTGTATCCATGTATATTTTTTGTATGCGTATATACTTGTCATTAATTCAATTTTTTGGTCAATTCAATTTCTGATCAATTTTTGATCAAAAATCAAGGGCTAGTTTCTGGAATTACTGAGTTGTACTAAATTACCTGGCCAGTGATAGTTCACCACACTTGTGATGATGACCCTACCCATACCCTCCACTGGTCCCTACCCATACCCTCCACTGGTCCCTACCCATACCCTCCACTGACCCCTACCCATACCTTCCACTGACCTCTACCCATACCCTCCACTGACCTCTACCCATACCCTCCCCGTCCCCTCCCCGTCCCCTCCACTGACCCATCCCCCGTGTCGCGTGCAGCCTACTCCCCCGAGAACGTCAAGTTCTGGGCGGAGAAGCGCCACAAGGAGTGGTACGGACACGACCACTAGTGGCCACCTGTCCGACGGCGGCCATCCAACCACTAGTGGCCACCTGTCTGACGGCGGCCAACCTCTCCTCCTTACATGGGCGCTGGGTGCCCTGCGCTGTGGTCGCTACTGCAGTTGTAGCGCCGCTCTTGTAGTCTTTAATAATTATATATTTTTCCTCGAGTGGGTGAGACTGAGCAGCCGTTTACTATCTTTGCTAGCAAGTAAAAAAATTCATATTTTCCCTGTTTCCGCTATTATTCCCCTGAAATTATAAGAGTTTATCCATCAACACTCCTGCAGTCCTTGGTTACTTGAAGACATCTTCGTAAATCATGTTTCACGTTTTCGGAAATGTTATTTACTATTTGAAATAAAATATGTATAGATAATATTTCAACGTGTATTTTTCTTACCACCTTTGTGCTGGATTTGAATATCCATTATATGGTTAGTTTATCTTGTCAAATGGTGGCGTCCTTCAGAGGTCGGTTGATGTTAGAGGTCCTAGGGTCACAACGTCAACCCCGCCTGCTGCTCCCGAGACAAGGAGTGGCTGACGCCGGCACCGCGAGTCAGGAAACCTTCGCTAATCTTTCAATATCAACACTAATTAGCGGTGTAGTCTACTGTAGATCATCTCAGACGTCCCATCTTGAATAGAGAATTCTTATTCAACTCTACACTGTCGAGGTTATATATTCAAATAGGTAGAATTAGTCGACGTAAGAACGTACCAAGATAAGGACTCGAGAACGATGAATTTGCGTGCTGCGAATGCGTCATTCTAACGTTTCTGCCACGTCATTCAACGTTAGTCATTTTATTCCAACGTTCCAGTCACTTCAACCAAACGTTACTGTCCTGTCACGAAGTTTCCCTGCAATTCCTAAATTTCAGAAATGAGTGATATACAACACCGCTCTGACGGAGGACAACCTTATCTAGGTTGCTAGGCGGTCATTTTTTCCGCGACAAAATCCGCGATTTAGTTTTTTTCTAAATTGCGCTGGCCGGCTAAAATTCATGATACGGGTACTTCCTTAATTGAATTTAAAAAACACCAAAAAGATGGAATTGAATTTTTACACCGGAACCTACAAATATACTAGCATATATTGAGTTTTTGCCTTATAGGCCTTTTTGGTCCGCGAACTTGGCCATTTTTTAGGCCATCTGGCAACCCTGGGCCTTATAGCGACTGGTTACACGTTCCAGGAATACAATAATTTGACTGATCAGCATCTGCAAGGTAATTTAATATTATAGGGAATATTGAAAAGATTATTGTGTTGGAAAAGCTTTTAATAAAATAAACGACCAATTCAAGACGATCGCAATGTAACAGAAAAACATTTGCCTCCAGATGCAGGCAATGTGGAACATGCAAACAATTGATAAGCTCATTAAATAGTTTCACTTTTCGCCATCGTATCGATGTGCTAAATAAAAAATAACGTAGCTTTTCTCGTGTCCATAATCCACGAGGGAGGGTTCAAATATATTCAAATTTGAACGTTTTACTACAGCATTTAAAGCCCCGAAATCCGCAAGGATTAACAGTCCATACTTCTTTTCATAAATTATCTACGTTCAATCAAGTAGCTCATTTTGTATTTCTTCGCTACTTAATAAAATCTCAGGACAATTTTATTACTTTTTCAATGCTTTCATTTATTTAGAAGCTGACAAAAAGAACAGCGTTTAATCTTATTCATTGAAATTTGGTTAATTTAGCGACCAATTACTCACACTTTAATACTTTACTACATTACGTAACAAAAGTGTTGGTATATTTTCTGATAAAAATATGAATGCGTAGGCCATGTCATACACTGACAATATTTGAAGAAAATAACTGAGAGTGCACAGCGCATTTCAAGAAAGGAATGCATTCATACTCTTAATTTCCATCATAGATTCCATCACAAACTTTAATCATACGGAACAACTAATTAATGATAACAAATAAAATGATTCAAAGAAGAGCTTCAACATAGCAACGCCCAACCGTGGAAAATTCCAGTGAAGGCATTTTTCTCTTCTGAATTGCTGCTCCTTCAGGCGGAAAGTTATTATTTATAAATAAGTTTTTAATGCTGGCAGTTGCTGGGGTTTGTTCAGTCGACGAGCAGGTCTTCGTCGTCCAAGATGTTGGCGTCCTGCACAAAAACAACAACACGTCACACAGAGATGCTTGTGTAGGAACACACGTCACACAGAGATGCTTGTGTAGGAACACACGTCACACAGAGATGCTTGTGTTGTGCCACACACACGTCACACAGAGATACGACTTGGCCCCACAACTGCCCTGCCTCGGAGTCCGGACGGCCTCACGGTCCTTCACCCACCTCAAACATCTTGGCCCACGTGGCCTCCAGTTCCTCACCCACATTTTTAATATCTCTGTCTCCACGGCCTCCATTAATTATAAATAATTATCCCTATACTAAAACCAGGTAAACCTGGTAACCAGGGCTCCTCATACCGTCCCATCGCCCTCCTCTGTCCAGCGGTCGAGATCCTGGAACGCCTTCTACTCCCATACATCTCAGATTCTCTCATCACGGTCTCTTCGCAACATGGCTTTAAACCGGGACACTCGACAGTCACCGCCCTCCTCCCGCTCGCGCATCAGATTGCGACGGGTTTTATTTCACGCCGTCCCCCAGCACGTAGTGGCAGCTGCAGTCGACTTATCGAAAGCTTTCGATAGTGTCGACCACCCTCTCCTTAGTATGATCGCGGCCTCAGACCTACATTATAACCTGGTCCGCTGGCTGTGCTGTTACCTTAGAGGCAGGATGGCATCTTGCCTCTATCTTAGAACACAATCCCCTTTCAGAACAATCCATTCTGGAGTCCCCCTAGGGTCGGTCATCTCACCAGCCCTATTCAACTACATCATCTCGGACATACCTGTTCCGTCCCCCAACATCGCCTCATATGCAGACGACCTCACTATTTTTTGTGTCATCCCCGAGGCTCGACGCCGCGGAGGCTGACCTCTCTGAGCTTCCCCGGGGCGTCTCAGACTGGTCGACCGCCAAGAAACTGGCCGTGGCTCCTCGGAAATCCTCAGTCACGCTCTTCACCCCCGACACTCACAAATCCCGTCTAAACCCCTCTGCAACAATCTGCAGTGGCATCATCCCCTTGGACAAAACCCCCAAAATCCTAGGTGTCACCTGGGATACCCATTTTACGTTCTCTCCTCATGTCAGAGCCAAAGCCACCAAAGCAACAGGCTCCTTACGCATCTTAAAAGCCCTGGCCGGCACCAACTGGGGCTTCTCCAAGGAAGATATCATTGCCACATACCGGACAACTACTTGCCCAATCCTCAATTATGCTGTCCCCAACTGGTACCCTGTTGCCTCACGCACCGCAATAGCAAGTCTCCAAACCATACAAAACTCAGCCCTAAGACTAGCCACAGGCTGCCTCAAGATGGCCCCAATCGCCCATCTCCACCATGAGACCGGCGTCCTTCCCCTGCCCGCCCACCTGGATCTGGCCTGTGCTCAATTTCTCGCCAGCGCCCTCCAGCCTATCCATTCTTCTTTCAACATCGTCCATGCTCCCCTCGGAGACCGCCCCATGGAAGCTTCAATCAAGACGAGATTCGGCCACCTTGTGGCGCCTTTCCTGGCCGACGGCATCATGCCCGACGGTGCCTATGGAGAGGCAAAACGCCCCCTTCGCAGGGACATTGCCCCCCGTGTTGCGGCGACTTCCGTTAACAACGCTGTCCTCACAACCCCACCACCACTGATTGCATCAGTAGAGGCCTCGCTCCCTCGCCCTTACCGCTCAGCGCTATCCCAGCTCCGATCGGGGTACTGCAGCTCCCTTCCGTCCTACACCTGCAGGGTCGGACGCTCCCTTATCGCCGCTTGCAAGTAGTGCGGGGATCCCCTCCAGTCCGTCCAGCATCTCTTCGTCTGTCCCGCCTTCCCCACGTCCCTCAGCGTCTCCTCATTCTGGGACAGGCCCGTGGAGGCAGCGGCATTCCTGGCCACCCTACCTGCCTTCGCCTATATTCTCCCTCTTCCGGTGCCTCTACACAACAACTTGACCCCACAACTGCCCTGCCTACACAACAACTTGACCCCACAACTGCCCTGCCTACACAACAACTTGACCCCACAACTGCCGTGCCTACACAACAATTTGGCCCCGTAACCTAATAACATAATTAATACATAAACATCATTCACGTACGGCGCCCTCCAAGTTATCCTCCAGGCGCAGGTTATCGATGTCCAGGTCGAGCTCCATCTCCAGCCGCAGCCTCTCAGCGTCTGCTGGCGGAGGCGCGGCAGCTGTACTGCCTCCTGCTGGCGGAGGTATGAGAGGCGAGTCCCTGCCTGCCTGGGGCACGAGTGCAGGAGCCCCGCCACCTGCCAGAGGTACGAGAGCTGTATAGTTTGCCAGATGAATGAGACGTGTATAACATGCCAGAGGTTTGCTAGGTATATAACCTGCCCGAAGTGTTATTGGTATATAACCGGCCAGAGGTATGATAGATATATACTATATAACAATCGTACTTCTGGTATATAGGTACCGGTATATAGAATACCTATACTATATGAGAGGCATATAGTCAGCCAGAGGTATGACAAGCGAGTGGACAATCAGAGGTATGAGAGGCGCATAGCCCGCCAAATTTCTGAGAAGTGCACATGATAACATAGGGGCGGGAGGTGTACATGAGCTCTTACTTGTGGCATATACTAGCCATCAACATATGAACAATGTCTAAACAAAATATTATTAAATCAATACAATTTGCATATAAACGTAATAAAATATAAATAAAATATAACATAAAAGCAAATCCATACCAGTACAGCGTAAAAAAGTAGCACCTGAATTGTCGGTAAAATCAATAAGCGGGTCAGCATCTGCCGCCAGTCTGTCCTGGGGCTGGGGGGCGGTGCTGGCTGTTGTTGGGGGGCATTTCTCCTCTCCGCTGGGGGCGTCCTGGAATAAGTCGGGGGAGCTTTTCCCCCCCGGGCAGGGGGCGTCGTCGTCCCCTCTGGGGACATTTTCTTCTTCGTCGTCATCGAGGTAGCCGAGCTCGGCGGGGCAGACGAAGGCGCCTGAGGCCTCCGCCGCCGCCACCTCCGCTGCCACGTCGCGGTCCACGTTCGCCTGGAGGCGCCATGGATATTATCAATACTTTTGTTGTGATGGATGACATGAGTGAACATGTTCAACATAATGAATAATACTTGATAAACATCAGTCATGACACAGCAAAATACCTCACCTACCCTCACTGTGTTCACCACACTACCCCTCACCGCCCTCAACTGCACCCCAAGCCAACAAATTATATCAACCACCCCCACCGTCCCCCCACTCCCCCACCGCCCAGCCACTCCCCCAGCTCCCCACCTCCCCTCACCGTGACGCCGGGGTAGGCAGAGGCGGGCAGGGGGCGGTACGTCTGGCGGCAGAAGAGCTCCGCCTTCAGCGCCGCCGTCATGCCGGGGAAGAGGTTGTCGTACTGGCGGGGGTCAGCGAGGGTGGGGCCCACCGTGTCCCCAGCGGCGGCCTTCCACAGCCGCAGCACCCGGGGCACGCTGCTGGGGAGGTAGCTCCTGTGGGACGTTAATGTTGATTACTTGCTAGGAAATTGTTACAGAAACCTAATGTAATAAATAAACTTATATTTATCTTGCACGTTAATGTTATATATTTGCTATGTAATTGTTAAAGAAACCTAATTTAATGAATAAAATTTATCTTGCATATGAGACAGCTGGGGAGGTAGCTTCTGTCAGTGGAATGAGTTAAAATTGCTGGGAAATTTGAAAAAAAAATTTAATGTAAAAAAAATTTAATGTAATCAGTAAATGGTAAGATTTATTGCATTTAAAGAAGGCAGCTTCAGGCAGTCAACTGACCTGGCAAAGAAGGCAGCTTCAGGCAGTCAACTGACCTGGCAAAGAAGGCAGCTTCAGGCAGTCAACTGACCTGGCAAAGAAGGCAGCTTCAGGCAGTCAACTGACCTGACAAAGAAGGCAGCTTCAGGCAGTCAACTGACCTGGCAAAGAAGGCAGCTTCAGGCAGTCAACTGACCAGGCAAAGAAGGCAGCTTCAGGCAGTCAACTGACCTGGCAAAGAAGACAGCTTCAGGCAGTCAACTGACCTGGCAAAGAAGGCAGCTTCAGGCAGTCGCTTGGTCTCAATGAGGATCTGAAGGCAGCGCTGAAGGTCGCCGCTGATGAAGTGGGACAAGAAGGCCACGTTGTAGTGGCCACCGCTGGCCGCCAGATGGCCGACCTCCCGTACCAGCTCCGTACGTAGTTACCTGTGTGATGATGGACAATGTTACACGTAGTTACCTGTGTGGTGGTGGACATTGTTACACGTAGTTACCTGTGTGGTGGTGGACATTGTACACATTGACATTGTCCTAACATTTATCCGGTGCCAATCTGGCGTCTCATTATAATTATAATATAAGTTTAGATCATCTGTATTGAGACGTAATATTCACTTGACCTGATAGAGAATGATGGAGAAGTACTAGACCTGAGTCAGCGTCTGAACAACATCATGTGACAGATCACGGCTATCTCATTACGTCTGTGAACGATGAACATCGTTCACAATATTCGATGAACGATGAACATCGTTCACTAATGTTTATTGCTCGATTGATACAATCATTCATTCTCATGTGCATTTTTGTTATTGTGACTAAATTATTCTGTAGCGTCTGGCAAAGCTGCGCCAGTAACAATAGAGTCTGACCTTACTGCAGTAGGAGCTGCGTAGCGCGAGGTCAGGTCTTACTGCTGTAGGAGCTACGTAGCGCGAGGTCAGGTCTTACTGCTGTAGGAGCTACGTAGCGCGAGGTCAGGTCTTACTGCTGTAGGAGCTAAGTAGCGCGAGTCCCGCCAGCTCTAGTGAGGTTCTAACCTGGGCCTATACTTTCAAAACTCGCTAAGTGAACGTAAGTACTTACGCTCTATTTTCTTGTCTACGATTGGTGGATTTTGGTTAAAAGGCCGTCAATGATTGGCTGATGAACTTACGATCTCTTAACTTTTTTAGAAAGTATGGCCCCTGAACTAACCTCGCTCCGTTGCTTCACTAGCGATCTTGTGCCCCAACGCTAGTAGTTCTTATGGCCGTGCTCCAAACGTTCAAACAGTTTAATGTCCCGCGTACTGTTTTTTTTATTTTATTAAACGTGTTGCTTCTAAGTTTTCTTTACTGAAATAAAAGACAAATTTTATCTGTGTTATCTGAAGTTTTGATTGACGGAATCCTAGTGCAATCAAGTAAGACTGAACTTTTATGGAAGACAGTGTATTTTTTTACAAGACAGCTCGAGACATTCTGACAAGATTAAAGGTTGCGGCGAACGTCCAAAGGAACGGCGAAGGTCTATCTTATCACCACCCTTTTAAAGGAACGGCGAAGGTCTATCTCATCTTATTACGTCTCATTACAGATCATGTGATATTATAATATAATTATAATGAATATAATGAGATGCCGAGACGCCAGATTGACATCGGACACATTGTAAAACAGAATGATAAACATTTACAGGTGTAATCGACCCGATTTTCCTTCTAATCATATTTTTCAGTGCCTGCCTAGTGAACATCACTAGTTAGGTTTTATTTGACTACCATTAGTAACATCGTGGTGTATCAGCCAACCATCGCCCCCCAGACCCATGGTAGCACCACGCATCACCTGCAGCAGCAGGAGGCCCCACGCCACCTACCAGAGGCAGACGCCTGTAGCAGCAGGAGGCCTCACGCCACCTACCAGAGGCAGACGCCTGCAGCAGCAGGAGGCCTCACGCCACCTACCAGAGGCAGACGCCTGCAGCAGCAGGAGGCCTCACGCCACCTACCAGAGGCAGACGCCTGCAGCAGGAGGCCCGAGTGGTCCCCGGCGTTGCGTAGGCACAGCTGGGCCAGGTCGAGACGGCCCAGGCGCTGGGCCAGGTCCCCACAGGTGANGTCCTTCGTGTTAGAGGTCACGTCCTTCGTGTTAGAGGTCACGTCCTTCGTGTTAGAGGTCACGTCCTTCGTGTTAGAGGTCACGCCCTTCGTGTTATAGGCACAGTAACATAGTCACGCCTAAAGGACGCTCCAAACAACCCTTGGTCTGGATAAACAGCCTAAATATCTCGTCTCATGGGCACACAATTATAAATTCAACGAGTAATAACAGTTAGATATTGCAATTATTGGAATAATTGAAGAGTAATAATATAATGAAGTGTAATAAGAATAATTGAATTGAACACGGTCACATCAACATATAGAAAATAGAAACATTATCAAATCTTAATATTTAAATACTTTTTGCAAATATTAGCCGTGCTATAGTCCTATATATCATATAAAGACTTACATTTGTACAATATATAAATATTATATGTTTATATCATATAATTTCTGTATATCTTATAGCCGTACTTGTGGTCGGGGTCCTGTGTGACCTGCAGCGCCTGCGCCGCGAAGCCCTGCTTCTCCAGGAACTGTGCCACCCGCGTCCTGTGCGACACCTGCGGCGGGAGGGGGACATGTTAGGGGGGACACCTGCGGCGGGAGGGGGACGGTTTAGGGGGGACACCTGCGGCAGGAGGGGGACGGTTTAGGGGGACATGTTACTGATGTTAGGAGGGGCACGTTGCAGGAACATCTGCGAGGGGGGAATACGTAAAGGGGGACGTTAGGAGGGACACAGGGGCCGTACCGGGATGGAGGGCAGGATGCGGGGGACTTGTTTATCTAGCGCCGAATGTCTCGTTGGGAGTCGTGGTCTGAGATTGGGGACATCACATGTTTTATGGTATCACATGCCAGGTTATATACTGTCAAACATATCTATCGCCCTTAGGTATTCTATGAGTCGGTCGACTTTATAATGGCCGTGTTGTGGCTGGGCCAAGATACTTTTTAGGTGTGTTGGGGACATTTCAACATAGGTGAGGGAAGAATTGCCGTCGGGCATCACTAAGAGACGGGCACTCACAGAGGTAGTGGGTCACGGTCTGGAGCACTAGGCAATCCATACAATATGGAGCAGGCGAGCGTTCCATGAGGTGGCCATGGGTGATTCTGGTGTGTCCAATGGGAAGGCTGGTGAGGCATACCTCCACCCGGCGTACGCGGTGGGACGATGATGGCCAAGGCAGGCCTTAAACACTCATTAATTTGTCGGATTTTGTTGTTTTGTATTGTCGGTTTTCGAGGCGCGTCCATTCTCCCTGCCACTCGTCCAGTAGTTTCTTACGAAGGATGGGGTAATGATCCCGGTAGGGTACTTCATCATTCCAATGTGGCGTCTCTTCAGCCGCTGCACGGCTGAAGAGACGAAAGCTCACCTGCGGCTTCATTACCTGCTATCCGAACATGGCCGGGGACCCAACAGAATGTGACTGTCTTCTGGCGAGCAGAGAGTCGGATAAGCCATCTATGTATGGAGGTCACCGAGGGATGCGGCGAGTTGTAATGTAATAGCGCTTGCATAGCACTCTTCGAGTCACTGAATATACATATCTCCATGTCCTCGCTCTCCTTTGCAATTGCAATGGCACATATAATGCCGCTAAGCTCTGCCGTAAATACTGAGGAGTAGCCATGTAACTTCAGCGAGCTCCTCGCAACGTCGCATCCAACTATACTACACTGTTAGAAAAATTACCGTTAACGGTATTCCCGGCGTTTCAGTGGCCGGTCGGAATGTGAAAAGAAACATCATGTCGCCGTTTTTATTCTAATTTAACACTATAAATCCAGAAAACATCTGATAAAAACCGCGAACGCAAAACAGTTTATTTTCACGGGGCGACCGGGCACTAGAACGCCAGTGGGACCGTTTTTTCTCCAACAGTGTATCGTCTTTGGAGCCATCGGCGTATAAGTGCATATCATGTCTATGGCATGCGCTGATGTGATAGAGGAACAGAGGCCTAATATCATCAGTTGAGTGACCGCTTCTCCTGCCCTGCATGAGGCCTGGGCAGACCATGGAGGGGGAGAGCGACCAGCGAGAACCTAATGGGTTCTCGTGCATGTACACTAAAGACTGAACCCGTTAGAGAACCTAATGGGTTCTCGTGCATGTACACTAAAGACTGAACCCATTAGAGAACCTAATGGGTTCTCGTGTATGTACACTAAAGACTGAACCCATTAGAGAACCTAATGGGTTTAGGATGCAGGGGACGTACCGGGACGGAGGGCAGAATGCAGGGGACGTACCGAGACGGAGGGCAGGATGCAGGGGACGTACCGGGACGGAGGGCAGGATGCAGGGGTCGTACCGGGACGAAGGGCAGGATGCAGGGGACGTACAGAGACGGAGGGCAGGATGCAGGGGACGTACCGGGACGGAGGGCATGATGCAGGGGACGTACCGGGACGGAGGGCATGATGCAGGGGACGTACCGGGACGGAAGGCAGGATGCAGGGGACGTACCAGGACGGAAGGCAGGATGCAGGGGACGTACCGGGACGGAGGGCAGGATGCAGGGGACGTACCGGGACGGAGGGCAGGATGCAGGGGACGTACCGGGTACGGTGGGCAGGATGCAGGGGACGTACAGGGACGGAGGGCAGAATGCAGAGGACGTACCGGGACGGAAGGCAGGATGCAGGGGACGTACCGGGACGGAGGGCAGGATGCGGTCGGCGGTGTCGAAGTCCCGCCGCATGACCGCCGTCTGGTAGTCCAGGACGCTGAGGTGCAGCTCGTAGGACACCACGGCCAGGTCCTTGTCCCCCAGGTACACGCGGCTGTCCTTCGCCAGGTACCCCAGCAGGTACAGCGTCCTGCAGGAGGAGGGAGAGTTAACCTTTTATCGACCAGGTGTACCATACGGTCGCCTTTCAAACCTGTTCGGTAATATTATGGTCAAGATAAGGAATTGGCAACAGTCACGATCTCGCCGCCCAAATAGTAGCAGAGCCTGTGGACGGCTCACCTGTCGAGGTGGGCGACAGTCACGATCTCGCCGCCCACATAGTAGCAGAGCCAGTGGACGGCTCACCTGTCGAGGTGGGCGACAGTCACGATCTCGCCGCCCACATAGTAGCAGAGCCTGTGGACGGCGTTGGTGTAGATGAAGCAGTCGCCCACCCACGTGGCGGTGCGCACCACCTCACCCGCCACCTCCTCCAGCAGCTCGAACGCCTCCTCGATGCCGTCCTCCGTCACCCCTGGGGCACAGGTCATATTAATTACCTTCCAGGACAATAATGTTGTGGGGTAATATATGATACTAATATTAATTGCATATTAATAGAACCAATCGAACCAGTCCTTCTGAATGTTATTTACTTTCCAGGCTAATGACCTTATTTTTAATAACCTTCCACGTTAATGATATACTTTTAATAACCTTCCAGGACAATAATGTTGTGGGGTAATATATAATACTAGTATTAATTGGATATTAGTAGAACCAATCGAACCAGTCCTTCTGCTATTAATTACTTTCCAGGTTAATGAACTTATTTGTAATAACCTTCCAGGTTAATGATTTAATTTGTTATATCATTGGAGGCTAATAACCTGTTTACAATACCTAATAACTGTTTACTAACAACCTACCACGTTATTGACCTCACTGGGGATAGGTTATTATCTATATTGCAGAGGTTGATATTGATGACCTCAATATAAATAGGTTATTTTCGGCATTACGGAGGTCTTTATTAATATCAGTTAAGTAAATATATTGAGTAATATAAGTTGATATCGTCAGAGGCCATAGTGATGATATTATACGGGGACATTAAGGACAGGGATGTGGGAATAGGGTTGGTTGGGGTACAATAGGGGCTGGGGTTAAGGAACAGCAGGGGTTAGGGTACATTAGGGGTTGGGGTGGGGTAACAGTAGGGGTTAGGTAGACGTACCTTCCTTACGCTCCCTGGCGGCGGCCACAGCATCAGCGTTGTACCTGAGGAGAGCGGACATGATCAGAGCGGCGTTTTTATTACATTCTTTTTATATCGCATGATAATTTGTACAGCACCTTGAGATTAACTTGATATAACGCACAACCTTCATTTTCATTTATTTTAGGTTCACATTATTGTCTACTAATTTATTGATATAGATTTATTTATTTCAAGTTCCAAAAAAATCACATGATCAGCCACCAGCTGTGGCTGTTAATGAGATTCTCTTATTAGTTGTACCTCAGTGGCTCACCTCAAGACAAAGTAGTTGTCCTCAGTGGCTCACCTCAAGACAAAGTAGTTGTCCTCAGTGGCTCACCTCAAGACCAAAGTAGTTGTCCTCAGTGGCTCAGTGGCTCACCTCAAGACAAAGTAGTTGTCCTCAGTGGCTCAGTGGCTCACCTCAAGACAAAGTAGTTGTCCTCAGTGGCTATGGCGACGTACTGGCCGGACTCGGCCCAGTAGACCTGTCTCGCCTGGATCTCTATCCTGCGCACCAGCTCCTGGGTCTCCCAGTCGTAGAAGGCCAGTCCAGTAGCGCTGGAGCTGCAGCCCAGCAGCTGGCCTCCGAACAGACCTGGACATGACGTGACAGATAAGTGACATGCAAGAGTTATGTCTGTCATGTTTGTGATGTTTGCGACATGTTTGTCATGTTCATCTCATGTTTATGTCATGTTCAATTCATGTTTGAGTCATGTTCTTCTCATGTTCATGTTGTGCTCATCTCATGTTTGTGTCATGTCAATAACTTTCAGATCATTGGCAGTAGTATTGCAATATAAATTAAATATTATTCATATAAAAAACAGAAATAAATAATGTAAATTATTATTTATGAGAGAAACCTTCTAAGTTAGGAGTGTCATTGTGGTGTGATTGAACGACATATTTATATAAAAAATATTATTGGGAAAATACTTATTTCAATATAGGCATTAAACTACACTACTTACTGGGCATGTACACAACTGGGCATGTAAAATGCCAGCGTGTACACAACTGGGCGTGTAAAATGCCAGCGTGTACACAACTGGGCGTGTAAAATGCCAGCGTGTACACAACTGGGCGTGTAAAATGCTAGCCTGTACACAACTGGGCGTGTAAAATGCTAGCACGTACACAACTGGGAGTGTAAAATGCTAGCGTGTACACAACTGGGCGTGTAAAATGCTGGCGTGTACACAACTGGGCGTATAAAATGCTAGCGTGTACACAACTGGGCGTGTAGAATGCTAGCGTGTACACAACTGGGCGTGTAAACAGCTGCGTGTACACAACTGGGTATGTAAACAGCTGCGTGTACACAACTGGGTATGTAAAATGCTAGCGTGTACACAACTGGGCGTGTAAAATGCCAGCGTGTACACAACTGGCGTGTAAAATGCCAGCGTGTACACAACTGAGCGTGTAAAATGCTAGTGTGTACACAACTGGGCGTGTAAAATGCTAGCATGTACACAACTGGGCGTGTAAAATGCTAGCGTGTACACAACTGGGCGTGTAAAATGCCAGTGTGTACACAACTGGGCATGTAAAATGCTAGCGTGTACACAACTGGGCATGTAAAATGCTAGTGTGTAAACAACTGGGCGTGTAAACAGCTAGCGTGTAAACAGCTGGTCCAAGAGACTCACGCTCACAGCCGCAGATGGGCACAAAGATGGTCTTGTCTTCACGCCTCCTGAACACACCAGCTGCAGCAGGCAAGACGTCAGTGGCCTCAGTGGCTGCACTGAGGGCCACACAGTGGCTGGACTGAGGGCCACACAGTGGCTACCCTCAGCGCTGAAGTCCGGCTTGAAGGCCCCCTCCATCACTCACCCTCAGTGCCTAAGTCCGGCTTGAAGGCCCCTACATCACTCACCCTCAGCGCCTAAGTCCGGCCCCTCCATCACTCACCCTCAGCGCCGAAGTCCGGCCCCTCTATCACTCATCCTCAGCGCCGAAGTCCGGCCACTCCATCACTCACCCTCAGCGCCAAAGTCCGGCTTGAAGGCCCCCTCCATCACTCACCCTCAGCACCTAAGTCCGCCCCCTCCATCACTCACCCTCAGCGCCTAAGTCCGGCCCCTCTATCACTCATCCTCAGCGCCGAAGTCCGGCCCCTCCATCACTCACCCTCAGCGCCGAAGTCCGGCTTGAAGGCCCCCTCCATCACTCACCCTCAGCGCCGAAGTCCGGCTTGAAGGAAGTCTTCTCCTTGAAGTTCTTGAAGATCTTGACGGTGTAGTTGGACTCCCTGATGGCGTACTCGGACGAGTCCAGCCCCCACACGAACTCCAGCGCCGGACCGAAGGCCTTGTTGCGCAGCGCCATCGCCGTGTAGATGATGTATTCTCCGTCCCCACACACCACCACGAACCTGGGGGAGTGTAGCGTGTTAGGGGTGTATGGGGGAGTGTAGCGTGTTAGGGGTGTATGGGGGAGTGTAGCGTGTTAGGGGTGTATTGGGGAGTGTAGCGTGTTAGGGGTGTATTGGGGAGTGCAGTGTGTTAGGGGTGTATTAAGCCCTACTGTTGGGGTTGTGGCCGATGTTGCAAGTTTACCCTTGCAACATTTAAGAGACAACTGGACAAGTGGTTGAGAAAGATCCCGGACTGTCCAGTAATGGGAAACTACCATCAGCAAGTGACAAGCAAGAGCATCTTGCATCAGGTGGCCCAAATGAGGGCAAATAGATGGAACACGTCCTACGACTCGGAGACGAAGGACGACGAAGGCGGCGCATCAGCTTGACTGGGGACTAGGAAGTCCCGAACTCATCATAAGGTCATAGGGTAAGGTGATGTCTCTCAGGGTCCCCACCTGCCGTTGGGGTTGTGGCTGATGCTCTGGGGGTAGATGTCGCAGGCCCCCATGTCCTTGACGGCCAGGGGGAGGCGCTCCCCGTCCCGGATGTCTGACGTGGCGTCCGCCGTGGCCTTGAGGTTGGCCTGCTGCAGCTCAGAGTGGCGGGCGAACACAAGCTTCCCCGACACGTCCATCGACATGGCGGGCTCCTCCCGACCCAGCTGCACATTATATTTACACCATTGGTCTTTTGTAAATTAATATATTAATGCAATACATGATTAAAGTGGTATACTAAATCAGTAAGGATGACATCATTGCTTTTCTGCTACGGCTTCCGCCGACCCAGCTGTTCAGGGACATACAGGTCTTTGGTATCGTGAAGCAAATTGATGGTTTCCACCTCATTATAATTCATGGTAATGCCCCAGCGTCAAGGTAATACAATCCTCAATGCTGTCCCAGTGCCCACCTTGACCATGACGCTGCCCCAGTGCCCACCTTGACCATGACGCTGCCCCAGTGCCCACCTTGACCATGACGCTGCCCTCGTCGTACCCGATGCAGACGCTGTTGCTGCCGCGCTGAGTAGAGATGCACCTGTAGTGATATACAGGCATATAGATTATAAGTCATACCTATATACATATACATATGAACGTATAATGACTCTTATACATTTAAATACATATTATTGTGTAAGAGGTTTAAAATTTTCATGTTGCGCGGGGTTAATAAGAATGAATGTATTGATGCCTTGTGTGATATGAACAAATTGGATGAAGTGCTACTACTGCAACACTGCACGACAGCTCTAGCACAACACAACACAGCACAACACAGCACAACCCAGCACATCACAGCCCAGCACATCACAGCCCAGCACAGCACAGCACATCACAGCACAACACAACACAGCACAGCCCAGCACATCACAGCACAGCACAGCACAGCACAGCACAGCACAGCACATCACATCACATCACAGCAAAGCACAGCACAGCCCAGCACAGCCCAGCACAGCACAGCCCAGCACATCACAGCACAGCACAGCACAACACAGCACAACCCAGNGCACTGTAAGGAGGGACATGTGTCAGCAGGAGGGGCAGGGAGGGGTGGAACTGCACTGTAAGGAGGGACATGTGTCAGCAGGAGGGGCAGGGAGGGGTGGAACTGCACTGTAAGGAGGGACATGTGTCAGCAGGAGGGGCAGGGAGGGGTGGAACTGCACTGTAAGGAGGGACATGTGTCAGCAGGAGGGGCAGGGAGGGGTGGAACTGCACTGTAAGGAGGGACATGTGTCAGCAGGAGGGGCAGGGAGGGGTGGAACTGCACTGTAAGGAGGGACAAGTGGACAGGATGGGCAGAAGACAAGGGACAAAATTTATAGGCGTCAATGGATAGGATGGACAGACGGCCGTTAACAAAATAGACAGGGGCCCATGGACAGAAAAGACAGACAGAAAGGACGGTATGGACAGGAGGCCCACCTGAGGAGACGTTCTGGGTGTGGCCGTCCAGCGTCTGCACGCACGTCTTGTTCTGGTAGTCCCAGATCTTCACCTGCAACATCACCGCCATCAATAACATCACCAACATCACTAAACATCGCGGCCTGGGACTGCTACATCCGAAGCAAATTCCAAGGATACCAAACATCACAAAACATTACTAACATCCCTGCATCTTAACAACATCACTACTCCATCCAACCTCACACACATCATCATTGGTATATTTTTATGTAAATCATGCACAAACAATTCCCTGATAAGCCCCAAATAATGACAGGAATTTCTATTTGATGGAAAGCTGATGCACTTCTTAGTTTACAGGTATGTCCAAAACTGGGTAAAAAAATGAGTGTTTACGTGTGTAAAATGTACATAAGCGATATTTTGTCCCGGTAGGAGGACCAATATTGGATATCTTGGTAGAAAGTGCCGCCCTAACCCAAGCCTCACCAGGCAGTCGTCAGCCCCCAACATGAGGTAGGGCTTGTGTCGCCCTAACCCAAGAATCACCAGGCAGTCGTCAGCCCCCGACATGAGGTAGGGCTTGTGCCGCCCTAACCCAAGCCTCACCAGGCAGTCGTCAGCCCCCGACATGAGGTAGGGCTTGTGCCGCCCTAACCCAAGCCTCACCAGGCAGTCGTCAGCCCCCGACATGAGGTAGGGCTTGTCGCCGCCGTGGCTGTAGTCGACGCAGTTCACCCCCCGCTGGTGGCCCTCCAGGCTGAAGTTGGCGTGCGGGGACCCAAGCTGCCAGACCTGAGAGGGGAAGGGGAGGGAGGGTTACATTATAGGGCTACAGAAAATATCATATTTACAATTAGATGTAATTGTTACCTAATTGTTAATAAGGCTAAATGTTACCATTCACTAGCCCCAACTGTCTGAGGGTGAGTGGCTCATGGCCTGTCCCCCCTATCACTCCTGCTCTTGACAGCTGTTTCAGTCTTCCTGAGACTGAACCTCCCCTCACCCCCCATGACAGTTTCCTCAACTACACCTTGACAGTCCATTTAATCCCCCCTTGACAGTCCATTTAGTCCCCACCTTGACAGTCCATTTAATCCCCCGTTGACAGTCCATTTAGTCCCACCTTGACAGTCCATTTAGTCCCCACCTTGACAGTCCATTTAGTCCCCACCTTGACAGTCAATTTAGTCCCACCTTGACAGTAGCCTCTGCCACCCACCGCGACGGTCCCACAGCTCTCTCTTGACAGTTTCCTCATCCCCCACCTTGACATCCCCTCAGCCTCCATTTACAGCTCCCCAATCACCCACCACAACAGTCCCCCCACCAGAACGGTCTACGCAGCTCCCATTTCCCCCCAGCCCCCACCATGATGGTCCCCCTCATTCCCCACTGACAATCCCCCAGTTCCCCCACCTTGACAGTGCGGTCGAGGGAGGCGGAGGCGAAGGTGTTGTTGTCCTTGGGGTTGATGACGATCTGCATGACGTAGTGCGAGTGTCCCTCGAACACCTGCTGACACGCCCACTTCTGGTCCCAGTTCCACAGCTTGATGAGCATGTCGTCTGTAACATGTTAACATGTTAGTACATGTTGTCTGCAACATGTTAGTACATGTCATCTGCAACATGTTAGTACATGTCTGCAACATGTTAGTACATGACTGCAACATGCCAAAATGTCAGTAGATGTCGTCTGCAACATGTGTTTTGAGACTTGCATTTATCTAAAAAATAAAAAAAATTAAAATAATTCATTCACACCTGAAGAGGTCAGCACAAAGCCTTATCTTCACCTGAAGAGGTCAGCACAAAGCCTTATCTTCACCTGAAGAGGTCAGCACAAAGCCTTATCTTCACCTGAAGAGGGCAGCACAAAGCCTTATCCTCACCTGAAGAGGTCAGCACAAAGCCTTATCATCACCTGAAGAGGTCAGCACAAAGGGCTGTGTGGGATGCACAACAATGCAGCGCACATAGTCACTGTGTGCCTCGAACTGGTGTACGCGCTCGAGTGTGTTGTAGTTGAAGACGCGCACCATCATGTCGTCAGAACCCGACACCACCCAGTTCTTGCGGGCCACAAACTTGGCAGCTCGCACCGGCAGGTCACAGACCTGCCAATAGTGATACACTGAACATTTCAGAACATTTCAAATAAATCTTTTCCAGAAAAAAATTGTTAACTGTAAATAACTTTAACATTGACGCCTTTTTAAACAAGGTTCACTGGAGTAAAAGGGTCCTTAAGGCCAGGATTTTAAAGCTTGACATTTTTTGCATAAAATATCATTAGGATAAAAAGTCTTAATAAAACACATGTTTTTATGATGGGAAATATAGCTTACTTTTCAGCAGTTCAGTTTTAAACTTTGTAAATAGTACAATCCCAGTCATTATGAGTCAAACAAAAATCATTTCAACGCGAACCTTGCTAAGATATAACCTCAAGAGTTAATTATTATCAATTTATAACCAAGTTTCTCAAGCTACTAAATCACTTAGATATTCAGTTTCCCATGATCAATGGAATTTATTTCTTCATTCAGCGCAATTAAAACAGTGAAGAAGTCTGTGGAGCTATTTACCTCAAAGCTCTTGACGAGCTGCTGTGACTCCAGGTTCCACACGTGGATGTTGCCATTGTAGAGTGCAGCGAGCATCCATGGCTCACTGGGATGCTGGTCCACAAACTTGACACGGTCAGATCGTGCGGTGAGACCGCGCTTGACATCCAAGCGCAGAGGCTGCAATAGTAATGAATTTGTACAAAATTGCACCAGTACAAAAAATCACAATGTTCAAAATTATATTAATCTATATTATATAACATATATCATTATAATATAATGTTTTATTTTAATACATCAGCAAGATTTTCATTGAATAAAAGTCTCGCCTGCCCCATTATAGCAGGCTGATTAAGGTATAGTCCATGCATTATTTAGACTAAACTAACAATGAAGAATAAGGAATACCGTAAAATGGGGTAACTTAGACCGGCGGGGTAACTTAGACCACTTTTTGTTTTTTTAACAAAAACCCCCACAACTCAAAAACTATTTGACATAGAAAAATTTTGTAAATTACATAAAGACTATGAGAGGCAGGAGCCAGCAATTTATGGTGAGTGAAGCTGGAGTATAGACCTGTATTTTGCATGTTTCAATTCAAGTTTAATTTAGCAAGTAAAAAAATGGCATCATTTATAATAAAAAAGTGGTCTAAGTTACCCCATTTTACGGTAATAAGGCCAGGTAAAAATGGTACAAAGAGTTTATACAAGTCTGAAATGACTGGAGGAAAAATTTGGTAGATACAAAAGCATCAGGATCATCACTCCAATGCTCATAGACCGTAAAATGAATTTTATAGGTGAATCTGCCAGCAATATTTAGACAAATTTTGCACAATATTCCAGATTGGTTCCTATCAATGTAGCATGCAATATGGGACATTGGGCAGAGATTTCATAGAACCATTGGCAAAAACAATCAATTCAGAGCTAAGTAGGAAAATTCCTTATTTTCCCTTAACCCATTAATGCCGAGCGGTTCCATTTGGAACCAGCGGAAAAAATTGATTCATAATAAAATTGTATGGTCAAATCAATATACTAGTGGATGCGAAGGTTTGATACATATCTTGTACATGTTCTGGCAACGTTTGGTTCTGCTGCACCGACTACTCCCTGCTCAGTTAACTTTAAAAGATTGTAAGTACCGGGTGTCAGACAGGAGGGCTTGACATCTTTGCAGAGAAACGTAAGTAGTTCGTCCTAAAAATATATTATTTATAAGTTAGATGCAGAATTTTATCGATAAAGAGAGTACTTTTAATTATGTATATGGTATTATGTGATATAATGTTTCTAAAAGTCTTTTAGATCATGAAATATTTTGTCTGGTTCCAAATGGAACCGCTCAGCAGTAGTGTAAGCATTCCGGTCATCTCACTTTCCCAGTAGATTTTTTTGTGATATAGTTACGCATTGTATTTCAAAACCTTGTTTGTACTTAGAAATTATTTATTTAGATCTTAGATCAACAGTCTTTCTGTTATTTGTTAGTGAACTATTATCTTTAGAGCTGTTAGGAATATATATCCCGAAAGTTTAAATATTTGGAAGTAGGTACGTTGAACACTATACGATTGTTCATCCCGAGTCACTTTTTTTCTAATTGTATTTTGGCAGATCATCACATGAAATAATTGAGATTTCGAGAGAAGAATATTACGAAGATCAAATATTTGCTACTGAACCTTTCACAGAAGCAGCAACAAACAAAACATACTGCGATTCAGATAACTCAGATGACGCAGCCACTAGCAATTCTGCTCGCCTATCGAGAATAGTCATTGCAGCAACAGTAATCACCAAATGTGAAAACAATGACTTTTGATAGAGAAGAAAGTAAACTGTGGTCATATACTACCGGGTACGACGTATACGAGGCTAGCCCGCGAGATTTAGTTATAAACTTTGGGCAGCAGATAAATCAGATGATATTATTCTGCAATTGAAGCCAATCGGAGGATCTAATAGAAAAAGAAACTAATTCATGGGCTGGAACATGGATTGGTCCCATAAACATGATACAATTGGTCCCAAGCCAACATATTATATATGAAATCTATTCTGGTCTCATTTGGCTTCTCAAAAAACATTTGAAAAAAAAAAAAAATGGCTAGTGCAATAAATTTTCAAAAAAGATTGGTTAGGAAATGCAATAATGCAGGAGACCCTAAATAAAACAATCAGGGTCTATAGTGCACCCTTCAACTTCGATCCTTGATGAAGTGCAATACAACAATCAACAACATTGGCCAGCAAAGAGACATCAGAAGCACTGCAAATGCAGTGCTTCGTAAACAATGTTGAGAACGCACCCACAAACATTCGTAAAATGGGAAACCTTCCTATTCATTTTGAATGAATGGAAGCATTCTATGCTAAAAATAAAATTGTATTCTGCCATGATTGATTTATCATCAGTATTGTCCATTGTGAATACGTATTATCCATTATGCATAACCTTGCTTGATTTACTATCGGAAAAAGTGTTGTTTGAAGAAACGTTACGTTAATGCCGAGCGGTTCCATATGGAACCAAGCTATAATTTTTCACATACAACGAAAAATAAATATATGAACATATTTTTTGTTTATTACCATCACAAATGATAATATTCTCACAAGGAACCCAAAAAAAATTCAGTAAATAATTCTTGTCATTAATGGGTTAAGTGTCCCAGCCCTAATATTATATAAATTTAATAGGTATTGAATCTCTTGGCTTTAATGTCATGTACTCTTGTTTAATAAAAAGCACTTGTTGTACTCTGAAAAAACTGTGGTTTGCCCTTAGCAAATGCATCATTTCATAAAATTTTCCACTTCTGGAGTACTTCCACGCTGCTGCCAAAATATTGTGCCTAATGTTAACATCATGATATTGAGTCAACCCAAAAGATTTTGTTGAAGATCGCATTATTTGCATAGTTGCGGTCCCTTACTCTCCCTGCACCAGGGTGCAGTAGGTGGAAGCAGCGTCGCCAATATATGGGTTTTTAAGCCCAAAGCATTGCCAACCATTTTCAAGATGCATCGCTGGGAAATTTTTAATGAAAAGCCATTTACAACGAGTAATGAAAAACTATTTACAAGCCACGAACTTATTTACAAGGTTGCATGCACGTGTTACCCTAAATAACTAACTTTACCCTAAAAACAGTCCGATTGTCCAGCAAGTGTCAACTGAACATGTGATGATGCAGTCTGACTGCTCTAATGTGACCGCAATTACATTTTGTTTACATTTTTTTGGCGGGAACTCATCGCAACCAATTTCCGGACAAGCTTTACTGCATCCTGATCTATCCAACGTACCAGAAACCATACTTTTTTCTAAATAGTTGGCCGAAGACTGATGAATATATTAAATGCAAGAATTTCAATCTAAATGTGTTGGCAAGATCTTCTGAAGGCTTAAATTTGCTACTGAAGCATCACCGAAGATCTTGCAATATTTATCCACTCTCTGCACAGTGGTCCCTGCACCGCAACACTTAAACACATCACAATTGATTTACGGACAAGCTTCATTGCATCCTGATCCATCTGGCGTACCAGAAACCTTACTGTGCACGCTTGTGGCCTTTCAGATCCAGGTCTCATACAGTGGCAATAGTCGTTGGAATTTCAACAATTTTCGCTGAAGTTATCGACCAATTTTTTACTTTACAACAACTTTCGAGCTAAAATAATAGGTCATTTATCTTTTTCAAAAGTGACGGAATATAGGGATTTGGAAGGTTTCCATTCTAAAGGCTTTTTAATAAATATGGCAACATTTTGTGACGTTTCATCGTTGCTGACGCGTAGTGAAGTGTTTTGAGAGTCATGTGAAGGCAACAGAACTTACGTAACGCATACGGTTTTTTTATAGTTTTTCATTTTTCGATGCGTCCTTAAAGTGTCGGAATATACCGCGTTTACCCTACATTTTGCTGCTGATGCATTGCCAAATATCTTTTGATATTCATCCACTTTCTGCACCCTGGCATGATGATTGGGATAAGAAATTCACGGCTCAAAAAAAATGGAATCATGGCTTGTAAATCCATAACACCATGGCTCATAGTGGCAAACCACTGATTTTTTAGAATCAGTTCATTTTTAATTTCCTCATTTACTCAAGATTTCAACAGATTTCTTATGTATGATAATTCTGGTATCCAAGATACTTTACTGGTCTACTTATAGGACTAAAAAATGAACTTGAGGAGGAGTCTAAAAAACTCTCTGCTTTGCCACTATGCCATGGCTTTAAAAATCCAGTCATGGTTTACAGAATAGCTATTTTCCTCACTAGCTTTAGGGGTGATTTGAAAATATGGCATCCTTTGGCAGATGAAAGTATAAGATTTTTTTTCCATTACCTATTATTTACTGGAGAAATCAGGAAAAAGGCATAGAAACAGGCAAAATTTACCAAATTCATAGGTATTTTCATCCAATCAAGAATCAACATGTAGCTTCTGCCAAATTTTCCACTTAGGCTAGGCTAGGTATAGCTATAGCATTGATGATAGAAAACAAAAAACTTTAGAAACAACTTGTATTATTTTTTAACCAATCAAGCAAAATACTATTGTACACTGTCACACATTCAAATTGATAGATTATAAAATGAAGACATTGAACACACTGGTCAGTCACAAAGTACAACATGACACTGGCCACTGTTTTACAAATTTACAGTATTAATTCAGTAGGTTAGCTAATTAAAAATGAGCCGTTTTAGGGTACTAATCAATGACCGTGACGTTTATTTGGATTGATCTAAGCATGCATATTGAATAAAAATGGAATCCACTGATATACAGTTGAAGGAAAAAATTAGTTACCGTCAAGCGTACGCACCATTATTTATAGATCAAAATGTAAATCAATGTCGAAATTTCAGTAAGTATTCCACCAGGTAAACGCTATGATGTTAGACGCACCGCTAATACGTGCCACCTCGAGCAACCATAACAAAGCTGTTGCCACATGACATGCTATCCCATAACTCCCGGAATTGTAGAGAAAAATTGAAAGCGACACAGACAATGAGGAAAATGAGAAAATATATATATATATATATATATATATATATATATATGATTATTCATATTTTACGCTTTTCAAGAATTATTTTCAAAAGAAGTAGGCGATGAAAATAATGGGATGAATTTATACGTATAAGAACGTATGAGAGTGATAATGAGACACTTCAGAGGGCAATATCTACTTTGAAATATGTTGTATGCAACAAATTTTGAAAAAATTATCATCAAAAATTTTTATAGACGTATTAACAATCGTTTAGATAATTTTCAGTTTCGCATCGGGCACGCAGCTGTTATGTGAGGTTTATCCGCTATATGGCAAGATTTTTGACGTGTCAACGCGTGGTCATGTCTAAAATACGAAAGAGATCATGCGCTAGTACAAAAGTACGCAAGTGTGCGTTGATTGAAACCTTTGAGAAGGGTATTTCGTGTATAATTGACATAGAGTAAGATGTAAAAAAATAGGTGACAGTAGTAAAATGAAGAGATTGAATGCAAGGAGAGATGACGTTTGTCGAATTTGTGAGGGAAACAGTGGAACATCGATCTCATGATGGGGTGCGAAACAAATGATAAATATTTATGACTGCTATAGTGATAATGAATGTGAAGGTGATGGCAAGGTATTTGAAAGAACAGGAGATGAATTGATTGAAAAGTTATTTCAGCATGAGTAACTGCTGCCGCGACAGATAGTATAAAGAAATGTCTGGTGGATGAGAGAGAGGTGAGTGTTGATGAGAGAGAAGGCCGTATATTTGCAAAAAAATAACAATGATAATAATAATTATAATAAATTGAAAGAAATTAGCGAGAAGCAAAGAACTTGCCATGATTGATATAAATGCCTAAATCTCAGTGCAATTCATAAGACCCCTACAGCCATATGACACTACTTAGCCTTCGACCTACATTACATACCATGCAGTGTATATTATATACCAGTGCATATGTCATACATATCTATATTACATCCCAATGTATATTACACACAAATCTTGCTGTGCACACCAATCTACCCTCTATTATCTAGCTAAATCCTCGTTTTAATTAAAGGTTTTGTTTATTAACATAGTATTTAATAAAAGAGATAACAAATCAATTTCTACCACTACAACTGTAAATGATTTGCGATAAAAAAAATTGTACTCGTACAACGAATGTCGCTACGCATTATGAAGAAAATTATACATTTAAAAAACATCAGAAATGACGGAGTAAGGCGTGGTTGGGTTAATTTTTGGGGTTTGCATTAGAATGAAAAATGATATGACTGAGAAACAATAAGCCTGAAAAATGATAGTACCGGGAAATGATAAGACTGAGATATGATTAAATATACTATGCCACTGAGAGTATAGCATGCCACAGAGAGCATAGTACGCCACAGAGAGTAGGTATAGTATGCCACAGAGACTTTTAACAAAATTTTAACAAATTTTATGGTTTACTGCATTATTTTCTTGCGTGCAGTCTCAAATTTATACTAAAATTAGGTTTCCTGCACAGTGCAATTTATTTAAAAGAAAAATTTGGAAATTAAAACATGATAATATTCATATATGAGAATGTCTAGCCAAAGAAATTCTAGAGCACTCTACAGTGATCTAGTGATGAGACATGTCCAGTTATAAGCTGCCTCTGTGAATTGACATAAAAAATGTAACCCTATGAACCTTATATACAAATTAAAAAAAACTATTACACGGCCTCGCGTCCACCTAGCAAAAAATAATTGGAACGGACGGAAGGGGCCACGGCTATAAGCTAAAAAAACTGCGCTGCAACTTCTCCACGCGACAAAATTTCTTCTCGCTTCGAATCACCGACATGTGGAACAGCCTCCCCGATGACATCGTTGGCGCTCCAAGTATGAACGCGTTCAAGAACAGACTAGATAAAGCTATGGAAAAATATATGTTCAGATTTGAAATGCCTAGCTCCTTATCGAACCCGGTGGAAGTCTAGTAGCTACTTCAAACTATCGTCAGTCATGAAAAGATCCGGTCAAATGACACGAGTTTAGATCTATGAACAAGGCACGAAAAGGAAAATAATCGGCGACAGGCCACATTAGGCCTACACTTCAGCGCCGACATCACCATGTTATGTTATGTTATGTTAAAAATCACCAAACATTGCTGGATTCACGTTATACCATCACAATCTTAAGTGATGGGTGCACAGTCATGACCTACAAATGCATGATAACATATTCAAAATCTCATCAAAGTGAATAGTTCAGTAAGTACTATCAAATTTGCTTTGCGCTCTTTCATGAGAATATTAAATTAGTTTGTGCTCTAGTGATGAGAATTAATAAGGTAATAATTATCGAATTATCTTGTCTCTTTTTCGACTGAAGTTTCAGCCAACTTTGCCAAACTTCTCACTTAGTTCATATTCCTTTCCGTAGGTAGGAACGCTAGAGGGCATAACTGCCTATGAAGCCAAGTGTTCACAAGTGCTCAAAGTGTGGCAGATGTCTTTTTTGGCAAATTTTCACGGCCATAAAATAAGCTTGCTGAAGATAAGCATGGCCATACTGTGCATCTGGCCAAACCTCTTCAGGCCTAACCTACACAAGTTGTAACATTTCTACACCCAAAATAATCGTGAGCTAACCTAACCAAACAAAGAAAGGCGTCAATCATTTATGTGTACCGAGCTGCAGTTAACTTTACTGCGCTTTCGTTTTCCTAAAAGAAATAAGGGCCAATTACTTCGACTTAAGACACCGCACAGTTACTCGTTCACAATTAGGGTAGTGCGCCTCGACAGCAAACGCACGCTGCTCACTTGTCCAATGAATAGTGGCAATTGACTAGGCGAGACACAAAACTTCAAAACTTTACCTTCCATATAAAATGCTTCCCGCCCCTATTCCCACAACATCTGGCTGCTTGACGCGAAATACAAAACAGGAAGTTTCCGCGAATTTCCCTGCTTTAGAAAAATAAGTTTATTATCAGCGGCCCACTCATTTCGGCCGAAATTAATCAAGGCTCTCTTGCAGCACCCTTTAAGGCCCAATTTTAATTCGAATGTGATCCCGACGTAATTAACATCCAGCAAAGCTTCATCACACTTCGCTTTGGACTTCAATGTCGTAATATTTTCGTTATATTCACACTCTGGGAACAACATCGGATTACGAGCAGTAGGTGAGACTTGTAGAGGTGACTGGCCGGGGGTGACATATATAGGGATGGTAAGTAATAATCGCAGTGCAGTGACCGCTACGCGACACTGCCAGACGTGGAGTTATAGGTGGTACAGAGCGTGGGTTAAAATAATTCTCACCAAGTGAAATGCTCGCATTTCACATGAGCGCTGGAAAATTTTTGACTGGCATGACAAATGAATGCAGGAGGAGCGATTTGCGAGTGCACAGGAGATTTGCTACACCTACAGTCATACGACCACGTTAACTAATATTAGCTGCTAATCCAGGTATAGCCTTTAGGCTCCAAAATTAAACGAATTATTCCGAAACGTCGTTCAATTTAGCGCCTAATATAACTCTACCATCCTAATGTGTGTATTCAAATTGTATAAGATGATATTGTAAACCTATAAATGGCATATTAGTCGTAAGATAACATATATTTATCACTACAAAAATGAGAGGAAATGATATTTTCATGACAATAACGATGAATGTTGTCAATTGAATATGTATTTGAGGAACAATTGTATTTTTTATTACATCGAAATTGATGTAGGTAACTAATTTATTTTTAAGATTAGATGACACATTTCAGACTTCATTCATTGAAACTAAACTCTGCATCATAATCATCATTCATTCAGTATCCAAAAGAGGAATTTAATTCAAAGTTTAAATTATGGCTGTCACTTAACAGAAAACGATAAAAATAAGCCTTTCACTTCCTGATTTCTGAGCCGAGTAACGTCAGATTACGGTCAGTTGCCCTCATCCAGGAGCTACTTCCGGACATTAATTTATGAGTTTATAATTTAAAATCTCACATTTTCATTTTATGAATTCATTTGGTGCGATATTTTGCGTCAACATACTTGTTGTTGAATTGCAATGGCTTAGTTTTGTACTGAAGAAATATTAAACAGAGTTATTCTTCAGCCAAGTTTATTCAGTGATTTGTGTACCCTTCGAATTCGGCGGTATTTTATTGATCAGTATTGTTTGCTACTTACGTGTCTTCTGCATATTTCTGTAGTGCATTAACGGGAATGTGAGAATGTAATATGTATGTTGATGTAAAATAAATTGTATAAATCGAAAAAAATATCGACGTTTGAAGGTTCTCGAATAGTCAAACAAATAGCTGCTCTCTGGCAACTTATAAATGTAGCATGATGAGACATGCTAAAAAAACTGTAAAACTTACTTGATTATCAAAATGAGTTATGCGAATCAGCTGCAATAGCAGGCTTGAAATTGAAGCGATGGGCCATATTAAACCACTTCAAGATGATATCCTAGAGCATAAAATGCTACAGTCAGCCATCAACCGTTTTCTGGAATCCCATCAAAAAACTTTAATTGGTAAACCTAAAGAAACTTCAAAGTGCATCGTCCGTTTGCCTGATCGTGTTATTTTTGCAACGAATGCTGTCTAAAATAAATAACGACTGACTGTCTAGTGACATATAGATATACTTATGACACGAATTGTTCCACATTACGACAACTAAGTGATGAAGTGGCCTAGAACCACGCCCACAGCGACTGTGGGGCAGACCAAGCAACGAGTGAGTAAATTAACATCACAGTCTTTATTCACAATGCGCTGTGGATGACGTTGCCAGAACAAGCTCCGTCCGCTCAGTTTTCATTTAGCGCTAAACGCTGAGTTTTGGCCGCTCGTATATGCCATACTCAGTTATATCGAATATCCAATTTACCTATTGTACCTACTTGGGTCGATCATAATTAAAATATTTTGTAACTTTATAATTTGTGTTCTTAGATTCGAATTGTCGTTTATACTTTAAAATGGCCTTCAGAAATTTTCATTTGCCTGATAATTGTCAGCGAGAAACCGTTTGACTTTTCTAAGTAACAAAATAGGAAATTTTGAATAAATATCGTTTTTTGATCCTCAATTGAACTGAAATAAAGAACAATTTCTGCCAAGCTGTACAATATATTCTCTATCTGAGCATTTTTACCATTCCAAATAACATATAGCCAGTAAATGTTATTGCACTTTCAATATCGTAATTTCTCTCGTGCAATGCAGGGGGCCGTTGTCGCCTGACGCCCAGAGCCAACCGAACACGAGGTCTGCCGACCCGTCTTCCTGCGCGTCATATTTAGGACAGTTACCCAAACACTGACGCACCTCATAATGACGTCACTGTTGCTTTAATATGCTGAATATTGCATCACATTTGGCCTCTAAACAGCTTAAATTTTGAAATAATTAAGGCTTTCTTGGCCAATATGCAGATGTCCAGCAGGAAGCTGGAAGATCGACGTAAATAACTGTTAACATTTTTGATTGATCAGTAGTTCGAGGCTGGGCACGTTTGTTCCCAATTTTTATTGGCATCTTGATTTGTTGTGTCCTAAAATATTTTTGGAGGCCCTATGGCCTTGTCTAAAATGCAAGTTGAAATATAGAATCATGTGCAGTCAATACCGCGCTGCATATTTATTGTGGCTTCCGCAAGTATGTGTCAGGATACATATCGCGTCTGAATGTTTGCATGTTTACATTGCTGCAGTGTAGACAGAGAAATGTAACAGCACATCTTGACGTGTGACACACCGGGACACTGCACCTGACTGTTATAGTACCTGGTCTTTATAATAATGTATCATCAATAAATAATTTCAATACAAACATGTTCGAGGTCCACCAGCACCACTTCTACTACCAGCTGCCTAAACATGTTCAAGGTCCACCAGCTGCATGAACAGGTTCGAAGTCAACTAGCTGCCTGAATATGTTTCAAATAATTTTAATGGTTAACAAGTCTATGTTCGCAACGTAAAGTCATGATCACCAATCAGTATCAAGCTGTTATTTTTGATCTCCAAGGCAACGGTTCCTAATTGAAGAAGTGTTAGAATGAGTTAACCCTGAAAATATTTAGAGCACTTCTTAGAAAATGTTTATCATCGCTATACTATGTCATTGTTGGGTCAAAGTTGCATGGAAGGGATGACTGGACGCTTTGCCACCGATCAAATTTCAAACGGATAAATAGGGACGCCTGTCGGAGACCACCACTGCCGTGCTTCAAATTGACTATCATGATCATTTCCCTCAAGAACATAGCCTATAACACTTCTTGATTGTGACATGGCCCAGTGGTTACAGTTCAGAGTACCAAGATTGGCGCAGAGAGGCGCGGGTTTGATCCCGGCTCTGTGCGACAGTTTGTGGTCAGAATTGACGAGGAGGCCGGTCGGTTAAGCACAGCAGAATTGTAGCAGTGAGTTGCATGCTCGAAACCGCAAAATGCTGTGACTGTTGTGCGATGTTGAGAATCGGCGACAGGCTTACGGCCTACTAAACGCTGAATTCGCTATATAATCCGCTATATATATTATCAGCTGCAAGCCACCAGACAGAACACATCAATTGAATTAGATCAACCAGCCCACAGGACCGCCTGCCAACATGCGAACAAATTCTACACCACCCAGTCGGAGCGCGCCGGAGCCTTGCAGCGATTTTTGATGCCCGCCACCGACCCGTCCGTATCTGTCCCGTGTGTCGAATCAGCCTGTGTTCGAATGGCCACTCGTCGTAGGATGATAAATTTTAGAACAGAGCTATGCTATATGAAACTCAACCACCGACTGTGAGCTAAAAGTGACCGTCAGGACACTTTTGCCCCCCGTCTGGGGCAAAAGTGACCAAAACGCCCGAGCCCCCGTCTTCTCGCAGACGGTGCAAACACCCAGTGTCCCCGTCTCCTCACTGACGGTGCAAACACCCCGTGTCCCCGTCTCCTCGCTGACGGTGCAAACACCCCGTGTCCCCGTCTCCTCACTGGCGGTGCAAACACCCAGTGTCCCCGTCTTCTTGCTGACGGTGCAAACACCCAGTGTCCCCGTCTCATCGCTGACGGTGCAAACACCCAGTTTCCCCGTCTTCTTGCTGACGGTACAAACACCCAGTGTCCCCGTCTCCTCACTGACGGTGCAAACGTCAGTGAGGCCACAGACCTGCCTTAATTTGGCCGTAGACCGGTCGCCAATTCTTAAAATCGCAGAACATTCACAGCATTTAGCGGTCTCGAACTCGCAACTCACTATTGCAATTTTGAGGTGCTTAACCGCCCGGCCTCCTCGCCGATTCTGACCAGAAACTGGCGAACAGAGCTAGGATCGAACCCGCACCTCTCTGCTCCAATCTTGGTACTCTGCTGAACTTTAACCACTTGGTCACCATGTTTAACCAATACTTTTTGCGTAAGCTCGTTTTGAAATGGAACAATTTTGTAAAATCTGGAAATTTTAAAAAATTACATTCATAGTTTTTTATTCGCGTGAAAGTGGACAAGGATAAGTCTAAAGACACCTGATGGTTAACGCAATTGGCAAAGGAAAAGCTTGGGTTGCAGCATCAAGTAATTTTTAAGAATTTTAATCTTTTTTCAATAAATTTTAGTTATTTGGCTGCCATAAACAATAAAAAACGCCAATATAAAAATTAATCTTCTCCTACGATTTTAAAGTTATAACATTGAGAGATACACCATTCGATTCGTAAAGACAAGATCTAGCGATCATCCGGTCATTTTTCTGATTCCTTTTATGTTTGAATTATATATTAAAATTAATGGGGGTAGGGGGAAAATTTCAATTATCAGAAAAATCTCAGAAAATTAAAGAAATTTGGAAAAAAGTGATACGATGATCGCTAGATATGGTCTTTGCGAATTGCATGATATGTCTCTCGATGTTGTAGCACGTCAATTGAATGAGATTTTCACAGTACCTCCTAATTTTTGCCGTTTGCTAAGTATTTCACGTTTTCCTTCATTCTTTCCGATAAATTCATATGAACAAAAAGTTGTTTCTAATTTCTAATTTACATATGTGCACCAAGTTTCAGAATGATCCGTCCGTAAACAAAAGTTTTTATATGGCTTCACATGCTACCCTTTAAGGGTAAAATTTGTTGCCTACGGCTTCGCCCCCGTTAAGGGGACCGCCCTAGCATACGAAAACTTCTACAGTTATTATCCGATTGTCATGAAACTTCACATACATACGTAAAATATAAAAAAAAAACATTTTGCTCATATGAATTTTTCGAAAAAATTGATAGAAAACGTGAAATTCATAGAAAACGGCTAAAAAGGGGTACTTTAGAAAATCTATCTCCTCCCACAAATATCATCCTACAACATTTTAAGGGACCTAAAACCCGCCTCCCTTTGAGGAGCTGTCACAAAGTCATTTTTCGACGTACAGGGACGATACTTATACCGTTCGATGCGCAAGAAAACAACCTTTAAGATGAGATAAGAAACAGAAAAACTCAAAATTTTCAAATTTTAGCTAAGGCGGTCCCCTTAACCTCACTCACCTGCCGGCCCTGCGAACGATTTGATCTGCACGGAAATTCAAGACGCGCTACTATGCGATTAATTAATTATACTTTAGCTAGGTCCATTGGACTCAAAATTTATAGATTTTTTAATGGAAATATTTTTTTGATAAAATAAATGAAGTAATGAACGTGTTCCTTTTAGACACCGCGATAATATATTTCAATCAATTTTGCAGGAACATTTCATCCGGGATTTATGAGAAGAATTTTCCGAAGTCGAGCATTTCCCCTATAAAAACAATAGTAAAACTTAATCCTAAGGTGTAACTGGTAGAATATTAAAATTTGAATACATACACACATTGAACACACATTTGAACATTATTAATTTCAAGTCTTATAATGTTGAAATGAAATCGAAAATTATTTCATGGTTGGATAAGATACACCAAAATAGGCTTACACTCAATAACGCTCTGAGCCAGCAAAGTCATATTAAGTTCTGCATCAAATCTACATAATTCAAAAGTTCCAATGTAAGTTGTAATTTTTTTTCTACTGATTATTTAGATTCGAAAGTTTATTTAAACTATGTTGTTAAACTTTAGAATATTAGACTGAGAAACTCTGAAGCTGCCTGAGTCGCAATCTTCACTTCTATTACTTTTCGATATCATGCAGTCCGGTACAGCACGGCAGTCCAATGACCATGCAGGGCCTATTATACTTTCAAAACTCGCCATGTGAACGTAAGTACTTACGCTCTATTTTCTTGTCTACGATTGGTGGATTTTGCTTGAAAGGCCGTCAATGATTGGCTGATGAACTTACGATCTCTTAACTTTTTTTGAAAGTATGGCCCCTCAGTTCTTTGCAACTTTCGAGTTGCAGCATCATGACATAAATGCGTACTTAGAAAATGGCTATTGTATTGAATGTTGCTTAGATTTCATAAGATTATCTTGTCATATTACATAATTATAATTATAATAACGACTGATATGACGTACCAAGAAGAAATATTATAATTCGTTTGAACGTTTAAATAGGTTATGTAATTCTGATGTAATAGCAAGTTTGAAATTGAAGCGATAGGCGATATTAAACCGATTTGCGATGATATCCCGAGCCCTAAAAGTTGAATTGAGCCATCTAACGCTTTTTGTTATTCTGTTGAAAACTGTTATTTTGTGCAACTGCAAAAAACTCATGGATTGCATTGTCAATTTGTCCGGTGGTTTGCTAGTGTTTGAATCGAGTGCTGCGCCGGCCCAAACTAATTAAGGACTGTCCGTCTATGAACACATTTGATACCTTTTGACATGTACTGCTCAGTGTATGCATGCACAGTTCGTACTACAAGACTTTTTTTCAGTCATTGGAATTGAGTTATGAAATCGGTTGATGTCTGCGTATTTTCAGTGAAAAATACTAGCTTGCATCCTGTATGAAGTACTGCCACTGAGATATGATGAGATAACATTACATAACATAACATAGTGATCTCGGCGCTGAAGTGTAGGCCTGATATGGCCTGTCGCCGATTCTTTTCCGTTTCGTGCCTTGTTCACAGAAGATCTAAAATCTTGTTATTTGACCGGATCTTTTCATGACTGAAGATAGTTTGAAGTAGCTACTAGATTTCCACCGGGTTCGATATGGTGCTATATAGGCATTTCAAATCTGAACATATATTTTTCCATAGCTTTATCTAATCTGTTCTTGAACGCGTTCATACTTGGAGCGCCAACGATTTTATCGTGGAGGCTGTTTACATAACATAACATAGTGATCTCGGCGCTGAAGTGTAGGCCTGATATGGCCTGTCGCCGATTCTTTTCCGTTTCGTGCCTTGTTCACAGAAGATCTAAAATCGTGTTATTTGACCGGATCTTTTCATGACTGACGATAGTTTGAAGTAGCTACTAGATTTCCACCGGGTTCGATAAAGAGCTAGGCATTTCAAATCTGAACATATATTTTTCCATAGCTTTATCTAATCTGTTCTTGAACGCGTTCATACTTGGAGCGCCAACGATTTTATCGTGGAGGCTGTTCCACATGTCGGTGTTTCGAAGAGAGAAGAAATATTGTCGCGTGAAGTTGCAGCGCAGTTTTTTTAGTTTATAGCTTTGGCCCCTGCATGGTGTTGGTTCTTGTTTTAGATGCAGGGTAATGCGTGTAAACTTCCTTAAATAATAATAATAATGTCATATAATAATATAGCGGTTCAGCGTTTATTAGGCCGTAGGCCTGTCGCCGATTCTCAACATAGCAGAACATTCGCAGCTTGTTGCGGGCTTGAACTCGCAACGATCACTGCTTCAAATTTTCTTTACTTATAACCGCCCGGCCTCCTCGCCGATATTCTGACCAAAAACTGGCGCACAGAGCTGGGATCGAATCCGCACCTCTCTGCTCCAATCTTGGAACTCTTAACTTTAACCACAAGGCCGCCCTGCCAATTAATGAAAATAACTGTTAAAGATATCATTACAATATATATTTTCTTGAAAAAGACCAAATGACAGCCCTCATTGTCAATGCATTCAGTTAGTCGATTTCTGAAGATCCGTTCAACTTGCTGAAGCATATCAACGGGCATCTTGGCAATGGCTTGGCGTATCTTGATTTTGATTGAGGTGGTCCTTGGGCAGTCATTGTAAACAATTGATTTAAGATAACCCCATTAAAATCACATGGAGCCAAATCGGGGGATCAAGCCGGCCAAGGAAGGTCACCACTCAAGGAGAAGAGGCGCTATGCAAAATGTTGTCTCGCAAGATCCATTGGACATCGCGCTGTGTGGGCCGTGGCTCCATCTTGTATGAACCAGACATCCACGACATTCATTTCAGGCCAGTTCTGCCAAAAGAAAGGCGTCAATCATTTGCGTGTACTGAGCTTCAGTCACCTTTACTGTGCGATCGTTTTCCTCAGAGAAATAAGGGCCAATTAATTTAACTTAATTATGACCCTGCACAGCGCACAGCCACGCTTTCACAATTACGGGAGTACGCCTCGAAAGCAAACGCACGCTGCTCACTTGTCCATTGCATTGTAGCAACTGACTAGGCGGGACACCAAACTTCATAACCTTACCTTCCATATGAAATGCTTTCCGCCATTTTCCTATACAACATCTGGCTGCTTAGCGCGAATTACCAAACAGGAAGTTTCCGTGAATCGCTCTGAATTAGAGAAATAAATTTATTATCAGCGGCCGACTCATTTGGGCCGAAATTGATTAAGGCTCTCTTGCAGCACCCATTAAGGCCCAATTTTAATTCGAATGTGATCCCGACGTAATTAACATCCAGCAAAGCTTTATCACACTTCGCTTTGGACTTCAATGTCGTAATATTTTCGTTATATTCACACTCTGGGAACAACATCGGATTACGAGCAGTAGGTGAGACTTGTAGAGGTGGCTGGCCGGGGGTGACATATATAGGGATGATAAGTAATAATCGCTGTGCAGTGGCCGCCACGCGACACTGCCAGACGTGGAGTTAGGTGGTACAGAGCGTGGGTAAAAATAATCCTCACCAAGTGAAATGCTCGCGTTTCACATCATAAAAATTTTGCGCTGATATTCCAAATTGATGTAGAAAGGGGGATTTGAGAATGCACAGGAGAATTGCTATTACCTCTAATCATACCACCAGGTTTTTAAAAAGGTACGTAATCAGTTATAGGGCTATCGCTCCAAAATTAATATTCCGACACGTGGGTTAACGCTGCATCAGATCTTACATGACCAGGCTAATGTGTATACTTTAGTTGGTTAAGGTGGAATTGTTAAATTGAAAAAGGTAAATTATTGTAGAATAACTGATATTTATCCCAAAAAAAACTTACAAAAAAATAATTTCATTGAAATAATGATGAATATTGTCATTTGAATATGTATATGAGAAACAATTGTGGTTTTTATTTCAACAAAATTTTGATAGGTAACTAATTTATTTTTCGAGTCAGACAATAAATTTCAGACATCATTCGTTGAAACTAAACGCGGCATCATAAGCATCATTCATTTTCAGTATCCAAAAGAGGGAATGAATTCGAAGATAAAATTATGAATGGTCACTTACCAAAAAACAACAAAAAATATAACTCAGCACTAACTACAGTGAGTGACAGAGCGCATTTTCTCGTCGACGAAAACGTGAAGTCACGGAAGACGGACAGACAGACGGACATGACGAGCACAATAGTGCATTTTTCCCATAAACGAGAAAATGCGCTAAAAATTGAGATTTTACATTAAAAACCCATGAATTAATGGTCGGAAGTAGCTCCTGGATGACGGAAACTGACCGTAATCTGACGTTACTTGGCTCAGAAATCAGTAAGTGAATGGCTTTTTAGCGCATCTTCTTATTTATGAAAAAAATGCACTATTGTGCTCGCCATGTCCGTCTGTCCGTCCGTCTGTCCGTCTTCCGTGACTTCACGTTTTCGTCGACGAGAAAATGCGCTCTCTGTTACTGCAGTGAGTACTGAGTTATATTTTTTATTTTATTGATTCATTTGGAGTGATATTTTGCGCCAACATACTTGTCGAATTTCAATGGCTTAGTTTTGTTCTGAATAAATATTAAACTGAGTTATTCTTCAGCCAAGTCTATTCAGTAATTTGTGTACCGGAGCGACACTACAGCGAACTCGACTGCGAACTGGCCTGCGCACTCGGATGCAAAACGTAACTTGACGTTCAACTCTAAATCAATAATCCATCAATAATCCGTAAATCCATATATACTGAACGGATTTCATTCAAATTTGAAAAATAAGTAGATATTATCAATGCGCTATGGACAGAATTATTTCAGAATTTTAAGTCGTTGCATTTTTTATTAATAAGAAAAACCTAACTTCACTTTCACCTCGCAGGTTGGGTCAAGTTTCAGTATTTTGTGACATTTAGAAAAAAGAACTATGCTATCATAACCTAACCTGCGAGTTGGCGTTTTTTTAGCTATGAATTTCTGAAAAAAAAACCTGTAGCATTTTTAACTCAGGCTGGGTGAGTTGAACGTGAAGTTAGGTTTTCCGTATTATTAAAAAACTAATTGATGTTTAAATATGAAATAGATACCTCCTTAGCGCATTGATAATATCTACTTATTTTTCAAATTTGAATGAAATCCGTTCAGTATTTATGGATTTATGACGGGCAGAGTTGAATGTGAAGTTAGGTTTTCCGTATTAATAAAACATGAATCGACGTAAAAATCTGAATTAATTCCGTCCACAGCGAGTAATATTGATATATATAATAAATATCACATTGATGTAAAATAAATTGTAGAAATAGAAAAAATATCGACGTTTAAAGGTTCTCGAATTTTCAAACAAAAAATTGCTCTTTGGCAACTTATAAATGTAGGTAGCATGTTGAGACATGCTAAAAAAACTGTAAAACTTGCTTGTTATCAAAATGATTTATGCGAATAAGCTGCAATAGCAGGCTTGAAATTGAAACGATGGGCCATATTAAACCACATCACGACGATATAATCGAGCATAAAAAGCTACAGTCAGCCATCAACCGTTTTCTGGAATCCTATTAAAAAACTTTGATGGGTAAACCTAAAGAAACTTCAGAGTGCTAAGTCCGTTCGCCTGATCATATGTTTTTTTTTGCAACGAATGCGGTCTAAAATAAATAAGGACTGACTGTCTAGTGACATATAAATGGATTTTTGAAACGAATTGTTCCACAATACGACCACAAAGTAATGAAGTGGCCTGGAACCACGCCAGTAAATTAACATCACAGCCTTTATTCACAATGCGCTGTTGTTGTTGCCAGAAAAAGCTCCGTCCGCTCAATTTTCATTTAGCGCTAAACGCTGAGTTTTGACAGCTCATATATGCCATACTCCGTCATAGCGAATATCAAATTTACCTATTTCATCTTCTTGTGTCGATCATAATTCAAATATTTTGTAACTTCATAATTAGTGTTGTTATAATCGAGACGCTGTTTGTACGTTAAAATGGTGGTCATAAATTTTCTTTTTGGCTGATAATTGTCAACGAGAAACCGTTTCACTTTTTTAAGTAACGAAATAGGAAATTTCGAATATATATAGTTTTTTGTTCTTCAATTGAACTGAAATAAAGAACAATTTCTGCCAAGCTATACAATATATTCTATATCTATGCATTTTTAACATTCCAAATTACGTATAGCCAGTAACTGTTGTTGCACTTTCAATATCGTAATTTCTCTCGTGCAATGCAGGGGCCGTTGTCACCTGGCGCCCTGAGCCAACCAAACACGAGATCTGCCGACCCGTCTTCCTGCGCGTCATATTTAGGAGAGTTACCCAAACGCTGACGCACCTCATGATGACGTCACTGTTGATTTATTATGCTGAATATTGCACCTCATTTGACCTCTAATCAACATGAACTTTTTGAAATACTTAAGGCTTTCTTGGCCGACATGCAGAAGTTCAGCAGAAAGCTGGAAAATTGACGTAATTATCTGCATATGTTTTGAACTGTTCAGTAGTTCGAGGCTGGGCACGTTTGTTTCCCTTACTTTTAGGAAAGTTTCGGTTGGAATGAGTGACCTAAATTATTTTTGAAGGCCCTATGGCCTCGTCAAAATGCAAGTTGAAATAGAGAAGGGTATGCAGTCAATTTCACGCTGCATATTTATTGCGGCTTCCGTAAGTATGTGTCAGGATACCTATCGGGTCGGAATGTTTGGATGTTTACATTGCGGCAGTGTAGACAGAGAAATGTAACAGCACATCTTGACGGGTGACACACCGGGACCTTGCACCTGACTATTATAGTACCTGGTCTTTATAATAAAGTATCATCAATAAATCATTTCAATGCAAACATGTTCGAGTCCACCACTGCCAGCTGCCTAAACATGTTCAAGGTCCACCAGCTGAATGAACAGGTTCAAAGTCAACTAGCTGCCTGAATATGTTTCAATTAATTTTAATGGTTAACAAGTCTATGTCCGCAACGTAAAGTCATGATCGCCAATCAGTATCAAGCTGATATTTTTGATCTCCAAGCCTCCAAGGCAACGGTTCCCAATCGAAGAAGTGTTAGAATGAGTTTAACTGAAAATATTTAATTAGAGCACTTCTTAATAGATGTTTATCATCGCTATAACTATGTCATTGTTGGATCAAAGTTGCTGGGGAGGGATGACTGGACGCTTTTCCACCGATCAAATTTTATACGGATAAATAGGGACGTCTGTCGGAGTCCACCAATGCCGTGCTACAAATGGACTGTCATGATTCCTTCCCCCAAGAACGTAGCCTATAATACTTATTGATTGTGACAGGGCTGCTGATTGTGAAAGCCCCCTGCATGTGTCAGGGGTCAGGGTGGCCCAGTGGTTATAGTTCAGAATACCAAGATTGGAGCAGAGAGGCGCGGGTTCGATTCTAGCTCTGTGCGCCAGTTTCTGGTCAGAATCGGCGAGGAGGCCGGGCGATTAAGCACAGCAGAATTGTAGCAGTAAGTTGCGAGTTAGAGACCGCAAAATGCTGTGAATGTTCTGCGATATTAAGAATCGGCTCAGGCCTATGGCCTACTTAACGCTGAAACCGCTATTATCAGCTGCAAGCCACCAGACAGATCACATCCATTAAATTAGATCAATCAGCCCACAGGACCGTCTGCCAATACGCGAAAAAATTCTACACCACCCAGACGGAGCGCGCCGGAGCCTTGCAGTGATTTTGATGCCCGCCACCGACCCGTCCGTATCTGTCCCAAAACGCCCCGTGCCCCCGTCTTCTCGCTGACGGTGCAAACACCCAGTGTCCCCGTCTTCTTGCTGACGGTGCAAACACTCCGTGTCCCGTCTCCTCACTGACGGTTCAAACACCCAGTGTCCCCGTCTTCTCGCTGACGGTGCAAACACCCAGTGTCCCCGTCATCTCGCTGACTGTGCAAACACCCCGTGTCCCCGTCCCCTCGCTGATGGTGCAAACACCCAGTGTCCCCGTCTTCTCGCTGACGGTACAAACACCCTGTGCCCCCGTCTCCTCACAGACGGTGCAAACGTCAGTGAGGCCACAGACCTGCCATAATTAGGCCGTAAACCTGTCGCCAATTCTTAACCTCGCAGAACATTCGCAGCATTTAGCGGTCTCGAACTCGCAACTCACTATTGCAATTTTGAGGTGCTTAACCGCCCGGCCCTCTCGCTGATTCTGATCAGAAACTGGCGAACAGAGCTGGGATCGAACCCGCACCTCTCTGCTCCAATCTTGGTACTCTGCTGAACTTTAACCACTGGGCCAACATGTTTAACCAATACTTTTTGCGTAAGCTCGTTTTGAAATGGAGCAATTTTGTAAAATCTGGAAATTTTTAAAAATCACATTCATAGTTTTTTATTCACGTGAAAGTGGACAAGGATAAGTCTACAGACACCTGATGGTTAAAGCAATTGGCAAAAAAAGCTTGGGTTACAGCATTTAGTAATTTTTCACCATTCGATTCGTTGAGACAAGATCTAGCGATCATCCGGTCATTTTTCTGATTTCTTTTTTGTTTGAATTATATATTAAAAATGATGGGGGTAGGGGGAAAATTTAAAATATCAGAAAAATCACAAAAAATTAAAGAAATTTGGAAAAAAGTGATAAGATGATCGCTAGATATGGTCTTTACGAATCGCACGATATGTCTCTCGATGTTGTAGCACGTCAATTGAATGAAGAGATTTTCACACAAACCCTTAATTTTTGCCGTTTTCTAAGTATATCACGTTTTCCTTCAATCTTTCCGATAAATTCACATGAACAAAAAGGTTTTAGATTTATAATTTACATATGTGCACCAAGTTTCAGAATGATCCGTCCGTAAACAAAAGTTTATATAAGGCTTCACATGCTACCCTTTAAGGGTAAAATTTGTTGCCTGACGGCCCTGCGAACGATTTGATCTGCACGGAAATTCAAGACGCGCTACTACGCGAATAATTAATTATACCTTACCTAAGTCCATTTGACTCAAAATTTATAGATTTTTTTAATATAAATTTTTTTTTTTGAGAAAATAAATGAAGTAATGAACGTGTTCCTTTTAGACACCGTGATAATATATTTCAATCAATTTTGCAGGAACATTTCATCCGGGATTTATGAGAAGAATTTTCCGAAGTCGAGCATTTCCCCCATAAAAACAATATTAAAGCTTGATTCTAAGTTGTAACTGGTAGAATATTAAAATTTGAATACATACACACATTGAACACACATTGAACATTATTAACTTCAAGTCTTGAAATGTCGAAATGAAATCGAAAAATATTTCATGATTGGATAAGATACACCAAAATTGACTTACACTCACAACGCTCTGAGCCAGCAAAGTCATATTAAGTTCTGCATCAAATCAGCATAATTCAAAAGTTCCAATGTAAGTTGTAATTTTTTTTGTTCTATTGATTATTTAGATTCGAAAGTTTATTTAAACTATGTTTTTAAACTTTACAATATTAGTCAGAGAAACGCTGAAGCTGCCTGAGTTAACAATCTTCACTTCTATTACTTCTCGATGTCATGCAGTCCGGTACAGCACGGCAGTCCAATGACCATGCAGGGCCTATTATACTTTCAAAACTCGCTAAGTGAACGTAAGTACTTACGCTCTATTTTCTTGTCTACGATTGGTGGATTTTGCTTGAAAGGCCGTCAATGATTGGCTGATGAACTTACGATCTCTTAACTTTTTTTGAAAGTATGGCTCGTGGCTCCATCTTGTATGAACCAGACATCCATGACATTCATTTCAGGCCAGTTCTGCCAAAAGAAAGGCGTCAATCATTTGCGTGTACCGAGCTTCAGTCACCTTTACTGTGCGTTCGTTTTCCTCAAAGAAATAAGGGCCAATTAATTCGACTTATGACCCTGCACAGCGCACAGTCACGCTTTCACAATTACGGGAGTACGCCTCGAAAGCAAACGCACGCTGCTCACTTGTCCAATGCATTGTGGCAACAGACTAGGCGGGACACCAAACTTCATGACCATACCTTCCATATGAAATGCTTTCCGCCCCTTTCCTGGGACCATACTTTCAAAACTCGCTAACTGAACGTAAGAACCTACGCTCTATTTTATTGTCTATGATTGGTGGATTTTGCTTGAAAGGCCGTCAATGCTTGGCGGATGAACTTACGATCTCTTAACTTTTTTTGAAAGTATAGATCCTGTACAACATCTGGCTGCTTAGCGTGAAATACCAAACATGAAGTTTCCGTTAATTGCTCTGCATTAGAGAAATAAATTTATTACCTGTGTCCGACTCCTTTGAGCCGAAATTGATCAAGGCTCTCATGCAGCACCCATTAAGGCCCAATTTTAATTCGAATGTGATCCCGACGTAATTAACATCCAGCAAAGCTTTATCACACTTCGCTTTGGACTTCAATGTCGTAATATTTTCGTTACATTCACACTCTGGGAACAACAGCGGATTACGAGCAGTAGGTGTGACTTGTAGAGGTGGCTGACCCGGGGTGGCATATGTAGGGATGGTATGTACACAACAAAATAATTCGCAAAATTTAGTTTTTATAATTGGAAATTGTTAGCAAGATCGGCTATAATAATCGCTGTGCAGTGGCCGCCACGCGACGCCGCCAGACGTGGAGTTAGGTGGTGCAGAGAGTTTGAAAAAAAATTCTCACCAAGTGAAATGCTCGTATATCACATCATAAAAATTTGTCACTGATATTCCAAATAGATGTAGAAAGGGCGATTTGAGAATATACAGGAGAATTGCTATTACCTCTAATATCACCACGTTTTTATAAGGTACGTAATCAGTTATAGCCCTAAGGCTCCAAAATTTATATTCCGACACATTAGGTGACGATGCATCAGATTTTACATGACCATGCTAATGTGTATACTCTAGTTGGTTAAGATGGAATCGTTAGATTGGAAAAGGTGAATTATCGTAGGATAACGGATATTTGTATAAAGAAAAACTTACAAAAAAATAATTCCATTTAAATAATAATGAATATTGTCATTTGAATATGTATATTGGAAACAATCGTGGTTTTTATTTCAACAAAATTACTATAGGTAACTAATTTATTTTTTGAATCAGATGATAAATTTTAGACACTATTCGTTGAAACTAAACGCGGCATCAGTAGCATCATTCATTTTCAGTTTCCAAAAGAGGAAATTAATTCGAAGATAAAATTATGAATGGTCACTTACCAGAAAACAACAAAAAATATAACTCAGCACTAACTACCGTGAGTGACAGAGAGCGCATTTTCTCGTCGACGAAAACGTGAAGTCACGGAAGACGAACAGACGGACATGGCGAGCACAATAGTGCATTTTTTCCATAAATGAGAAAATGCGCTAAAAATTGAGATTTTACATTAAAAATTCATGAATTAATGGTCGGAAGTAGCTCCTGGATGAGAGAAACTGACCGTAATCTGACGTTACTTGGCTCAGAAATCAGGAAGTGAATGGCTTTTTAGCGCATTATCTTATTTATGAAAAAAATGCACTCTTGTGCTCGCCATGTCCGTCTGTCCGTCTTCCGTGACTTCACGTTTTCGTCGACGAGAAAATGCGCTCCCTGTTACTCAACGCATTGAGTAATGAGTTATATTTTTTATTATAGAGATTCATTTCGAGTGATATTTTACGCCAACATACTTGTCGAATTTCAATGGCTTAGTTTTTTTCTGAATAAATATTAAACAAGTTATTTCTTCAGCCAAGTCTATTCAGTGATATGTTTACCGGAGCGACACTACAGCGAACTCGCGCACATCGAACGCAAAACCTAACTTAACGTTCAACTCTGCCAGCCATAAATCCATCAATACTGAACGGATTTCATTCAAATTTGAAAAATATACAGATATTATCAATGCGCTGTGGACGGAATTATTTAAGATTTTTAAATCGATTCCTTTTTATTAATACGGAAAACCTAACTTCACGTTCACCCCGCAGGTTTGGTCAAGTTTCAGTATATTGTAACATTTAAAAAAAATAACTATGCTATCATAACCTAACCTGCGAGTTGGCGTTTTTTAGCTATGAATTCTTAAAAATAAAACGGGTAGCATATTTTAACTCAGGCTCGGTGAGTTGAACGTGAATTTAGGTTTTCCGTATTATTAAAAAACTAATTGATGTAAAAATCTGAAATAAATACCTCCTTAGCGCATTGATAATATCTACTTATTTTTCAAATTTGAATGAAATCCATTCAGTATTTATGGATTTATGGCTGGCAGAGTTGAACGTGGAGTTAGGTTTTCCGTATTAATAAAAAAGGAATCGATGTAAAAATCTGAAATAATTCCGTCCACAACGCGTAATATATATATTGATGTAAAATTGATTGTATAAATAGAAAAAATATCGACGTTCAAAGGTTCTCGAATTTCCAAACAAATAACTGCTCTTTGGCAACTCATACATGTAGCATGTTGAGACATGCTATAAAAGACTGTAAAACTTGCTTGTTATCAAAACGATTAATGCGAATAAGCTGCAATAGCAGGCTTAAAATTAAAAAGATGGTAATCAATATAATAATATAATAAACAATTCACGAAGATATCCCCGAGCATAAAAAGCTGCAGTCAGCCATCAAACGTTTTCTGGGATTCTTTTAAAAAACATTGATGGGATAACCTCAAAAAACTGTGCGCCTGATCATCTGCTTTTTTGAAACGAATGCGGTCTAAACTAAATAACGACTGACTGTCTAGTGACATATAGATGGACTTATGACACGAATTGTTTCACATTACGACAACGAAGTAATGAAGTGGCCTGGAACCACGCCCACAGCGACTGTGGCTGTGAGACGGACCAAGCAACGAGTGAGTAAATTAACATCACAGCCTTTATTCACAAAGCGCTGTGGATGGCGTTGCCGGAAAAAGCTCCGTCCGCTTAGTTTTTATTTTGCGCTAAACGCTGAGTTTTGACCGCTGCTCAGTTATATTTAGCGCTAATCGCTGAGTTTTGGCCGCTCGTATATGCCATACTCAGTTATATCGAACATCCAATTTACCTATTTCGTCTAT